ATATATATATATAATATTCTTGTGTTATCTGGGTCACTTGGTGGAATTTTATTCAGCGTTTTTCCCTTCTGGAGCCATCCTGAAATAACTCCCAGCATTGTTCGACGATTAGGATTCCTGTTGGACTTCATATCGGGGCCGGTGTCCGTAGGTTTCACGTCAGCGGCGGCGATCATCATCGCCACCAGCCAGGTGAAAGATATTCTCGGGCTCCATGTATCCAGCAGCAAATTCGTGCAGGTCTGGCATGATATATTCGAGCGGATTGGCGAGACACGACTCTGGGACGCCGCTCTGGGAATCGTCTGCATAATTGTCCTCTTGCTTCTACGGGTAAGAGCGGCGGCGCCATTAAATTGCAACAGACTAGCCTAGCACCCACTCGTTATTCAGCGTTTGCAGCATTTAAACGGGCAAGTCTGGAATACCCCGTCGCGAAATAAATGATCGAGCCGCCTCCCCATTTCGATCATTTATTACGAACTGTGGACGTAAATATTAGTTCGAGTTAGGTAAAGTTGAATAAATTCCAGTTTACAATTGCGCTCGTGGAGAGGATGGGGAATTCGTGTTAAATTCGTGTTAATTGTGAGCGTCAAGAACCCAATGATTTCGCTGGAATTCTATTTTTTCGATGTTTCGCTCGATGAATCCAAGTCTGCGCTCGCGCTATGTCACCGGTTCTTCGAACTCTGCTATAATCACGAAGCAAACCACCGACGTTTCTATACTCGTAATTGTGGTTACGATGAATCGTTATTTTCTAAACGCTCTCGCCCGAAGGCGTGTCATCTTACCGGTCGATACGATTGTTTGAAATACTGATATAAGCTCGGGAAATAGTCGCGGTGAGAGAGAGAGACAATTATCGTTTGGAGCCGGCGATCTTTTTGCCCGTACCACCAACGACGATGTTTTCGGACAACCTATATATAAATACTCACAAATATATGCCTGCCTTCTGCAATAAATGCAGTTTTTTCCCAGATCGATATTTTGCCTGCATTTGCAGAAAGTGAAGGACCTCCCGGTGATACCAAAAAATACCAAAGTGCCGTCGCAACTTCAGCAAGCCATCGCGAAATTGCTCTGGCTGATCTCCACCGCCAGGAACATCATCATAGTAATCATCTGTGCGATAATAGCTTGGGCCCTCGAGATTCACCTGGGGGAGTCACCCGTCATTCTAACGGGTCACGTGAAGCAAGGACTGCCGGAGTTCCGTCTGCCGCCTTTCGAGGCTCATGTCGGGAACGAGACCTACACTTTCCTCGATATGCTCTCGTCTATGGGCTCCGGCTGTGTAGTTATTCCCATGCTGAGCCTACTGGAGAGCATCTCCATCGCCAAAGTATTTTGTAAGAACACTCCGTTCCACACAGTACCATTTTTTACAACGTCGCGGAATAAATGTTCTCCCTCTCTCTCTCTCTCTCTCTCTTTCATATAATAATGAAATATGTAATAGTGAAATAAAATTTATAAAGTTAAATTTACGAACGATTCAGACACTTTTTAACTTTTTTACTTTATTACTTTTTTTTAATTTTTAACATATAATTCAACGTTTATTAAATTGAATTACATCAAATATACATTAACATGCCTCTATTTCGTGTCTAGCTCTTATAAACCTGAATTATGATCGATTTGTAAAATTAAATTTCGTAAAATAGACTTGCATAATTAAAGACTAGTCGAAAATCTATTTCTCCTCCTCTCTCCCTCTTCGGGCATTTAAAATGATAATTCGATATCTGAAGGACTGACATTTCTTATCGCAACAATGTTGTATCTCCGTCAAAATTACGAATTTATGTTACACGCGCAGCTGATGGCAAGTCGATCGACGCGACTCAAGAGATGCTGGCATTGGGTGCATGCAACGTGCTGTCGTCCTTTGTATCGTCGATGCCGGTGAGCGGCGGTCTCAGTCGAGGTGCCGTCAATCACTCGTCCGGAGTGAAGACGACGCTCGGTGGGGTCTACACTGGTCTCCTGGTACTTATTTCGTTGCAGTTTCTCACTCCTTATCTATACTACATTCCCAAGGCCTCCCTGGCGGCCGTCATCATTGCCGCAGTCGTTTTCATGGTGGAGCTCCACGTGGTGAAGCCTATGTGGCGAACCAAGAGTAAGTTCGTTTCTCTCAAAGTCACGCGATAAAATATGATGATATTATTACTAATCGCGTTATACTTTTCTTCCTCTTTCAGAAATTGATCTCATACCGGCTGTTGTCACTTTCCTATGTTGCCTCTTCGTGCGGCTTGAGTTGGGTATAGTGATCGGCATTGGTATAAATCTCCTGTTCCTACTTTATGCCTCGGCCAGGCCGACGTTACGAGTTCATAAAGCTACGGTGAATAGCTTTACTATTCTACATAAAATTTGTTACGGTTATATTAGGCGCGTTTTCCATTACCGAGAAGTATCTTAATAGCGGATTGTCTCGTAAATCGAAAATCGCTTTTTCTGCTCTCTCGGGCTGTCCGATATCTCACTTATCTTAATTTTGCATTCGTCTCACTGAGACGTTTATACCGTCATTTTGCACTTTTGAAAGGAATACAAATTTCAGAAGCGTTTCTCACGCGAAACAGATCGGAATGCGTATTAACGCGCGTTCTCTTTGCAGAGCATCAGCGGCTGTGAGTATCTTGTCATAACGCCGGATCGAAGTCTGGTGTTCCCGAGCGTTGAATACGTACGAGCCGTCATCAGCAAGCAAGGGATGCGAGAAGGCACCGCAGTGCCCGTTGTGATAGACTCCACGCATATCCAGGCGGCCGATTTCACAGCCGCAAAGGTAAGTGGGTCGCGAAGGAGTAATCATAATGTACTCGCTATTTTATTAATCAACCGTGAGTAAATCATGTTGTATGGTAATGAAAACTAGAAAGAATTTTATTCTCTTACGAAAAATCTTTTCTATCGATTATAGAGCTCTTCCGGGCACCCGTTTTCAACTACTATGAAACTCGATGGAATCTGACGATGTACCGAAGATTAAACAAATATAATATCGTCGTCAATTACGAATTTTCCTCTTTATTTCAGGGTATCAAGACTTTGATAGAGGATTTCGCGAGACGCGGCCAGCCATTAATCTTTCACAACTTGAAGCCGAGCGTTATCCAGATTTTCAAAGGCGTGAAACCGTCAAGCCTCACGTGCAGTTCCAGCGAACTTGAACTCAACGACTGCCTTAAAGGTAAATAATCGATCTTTTTATAACGAGATTTCCGCATATAGCTTTTATGGTTCTTCATCGTACAATGATTTACTAAATACTACGTGTTCCTCTCTTGCAGAATACACGAATGTATCAATCGAGACTCTGAATCGATACTGAACGCGTTTAAGCTTGGATGACGATGCGGACTCTCCTTCCTTAACGAGCATCAGTATTATAGTGAAAACACCGTCGCCTTCGTTTCACAGACAGTATTACTGCAAGTAGAGTGCTACTTTCGTTCATCAACCGCGACGATATATAGATGATTAGAAAGGAACTTTGTATATATATGTACGTATTTATGAACGCGAGCCAGTATGAAAATGATGCTGTACCTTATGTACTCTCATTATGTACACTACGTAATATTTTTGTATTTACGAGAGACGGGAGTTTGACGTATGCACACTCCGAATTTACTCGATCGAGTTATGTACATAGATAGGAACGCGTATACAATCCCGTGTTAGACACGCGAATCGTGATGGACTCGTTATGCTCATTACGTCCATTGTGAATATATCAGGATTCCGCTCTCTCGCGCCACGAAAAGAAAGCGTTCTCGCGAGGAAAGATTAACGAGGCGGGGCGCGAGCGCACCATATATCCTGCGAAATAATTCCTGTATTTCAGATTGTCTCTTTTTAACGTGTTACATCGTAAAATATGTGCGCAACCCGGCGCGTATGTGCCTCGGCAGACTTTCATCCGTATGCGTTGCGTGCAAATATATGTGCGCGCGCAGTTGAAGATAGAACAGAATAGAAAGAAAAGTTCTTCGTTGATCACGCTCCAGGATAACGTGCCATCGGAGCGTAAAAGATCATGGCGGCTCTAATGACACGAGTGTCGAGGCAATTACGTCGACCTGCGTGCGTGTATTAAGATTAAGGCGTTAACACTACGGCTAATTCACGCCGATTTCTCGAGCACCTCCGCTCGGTGTCGCTATGTAGAACGTAGGTGTGCCGGAATATCTGCGAGTAAAAATAATGAACAGCATCTGTACAGAATCCATTAAACCGCAGCACTTAACTCGACGCGAAAGGGGTACTAACTTCGCTCTCATATGTTGAATCGCCCGGTCGACCGCGTCTTTCCTCGACAAGGTGACGGTGCAACCGCCGAAGCCCGCGCCCGTCAAACGGCTGCCTAACACGCCGTCCACCGCTCTGGCCGCGTCCACCAACGAGTCGAGCTCCGCGGACGAAACCTCGTAATCGTCGCGCAGCGAGTCGTGACTCTCGTTCATCAGTCGGCCGAACCGCCCGAAGTCGCCTCGCTCGAGCGCCTCCGCGGCGTCCAGGGTTCGTCGAATCTCCGTGACCACATGACGAGCTCTCCTCACGACGCGATCGGGTACGTTCCGGGAGATTAACGCTGGAAAACGAAATCCGTGTCGGGGATTCAATGAGAATGCTCGATCAATTTCATCCTGTGCGTCGCCGGGTTCTCTTCGGCTTAAAGGGATATTCTTGAAACGTCGTTTTGCAGGTGACTTCTAGGGATTCTGTTTGAAGAAACTACTAGTCTCAAACTCAACCGGTTACCTCGGATATCGTTCATATCCGCGTCTCTCAGACTCTTCTTGTCCAGCATCCGCGCGGCTTCGTAGCAGCAGTCCCTGCGCTCGCGGTAGGCGCTCGAGCTCAGCTTGTGAGGTGCGTTCGAGTTCGTAATGAGAAAAACATAGTCGTCCATGTGCAGCATGGGTATCTGCTTGACGGCGAGGTCTCGGCAGTCCAGTAGAAGGGCGCAGCCCTCTTTACCCATGACTGAGATGAATTGATCCATTATGCCGCACGGCACGCCGGCGAAATCGTGCTCCGCCTTTTGACACGCCAAAGCCTGCGGACATATTGTTCTCGTGTTGTACGGCCGAGTGACGCGAAACTGTCGAGCAGAAATGGTCACCTTCTCCTCCGGTTTCTCCGGTCGCTCGTCGCTCAACGCCTCGAGAAACGTGTAAGTCGCCACTTCCAGAGCCGCTGAGCTGCTGAGACCGGCGCCCGCCGGCACGGTCGACGCTATCACGGCATTGAATGCGGGAACATCGCCTGTGAAACGCGTCTCTCTCTTTCAATCGTACAATGTGCCTTTCGAAATAATCCCGCAAAGAGCGGAGGTGATTACTTATGTGACTCTGGAAGCGTGAACGACTCACAGATAAAATTGGCGATGCACCCTTTGATGTAGTTCGCCCACTTTGGCTCCCCCGGCTTTATGTCGGCGCGATTATTCGCTGCGAATTCGCTCGTTTCGCCTGCCGCGCCGCTCAGGGAAACGATTCTGGTTCTCTGCCCATCATGCGACTTCCCCGCTATCACTGTGATCATCGGTAACGCCTGATAATCATAGGAGATCCGAAGTAATTCGAAATTCGATATCTCAATACTGATTATTATTACTGTTTGTAAGTGATAAGTCACCTATATCGCGGCAAAGCTTTTAGCGTTGCTTTAAGAAACGTGAGTGAAAATAACCGTTCTATTTTTGTATCACATACGGCGTGAGAAAACAACTCGGTAAAAAACTTTTCATATATAATCATATATAACCATATGACATCAAAATTATATAGAAAGTATATAAAATTATGCATAATTCCCTATTTGATTATATATAAAAAATTTTTTACCGGGAAACAACAATAACTGTAAATAATAAAGATGCGACGATAACGCGATGCATTTTCCATCGTTACAATGATAATAGTAACAGGAGAGAGAAACGTTTAAGAAGTCGCTCACACAATCGATATGCCTACCTCGCGAATGGCGTTTGAACAGTATGAAAGCGGCGCGCGCTAGACGAATGTTTGCCGAAAGAGTCTTATTCGCATTCTTCGATTACCTAAGCGGTGATTCGACGCGTAAGAGACACGCAGGGACGTCACACATGACATCCCGACGTGTCTATCCGAACGCGAGCGATAAATCGAGAGCTTGCGAGAGGAGCGCGAGGAACACCCGCGGCATTACCATCGGTAGCACGAAACCCTCATTGTAATCCGTGTGTTCGCCGATGAGATTGACGCGACCAGGCGCGTAGACGCAGACGGCGGCCGGTCCGCCGAATTTCTCGGCGAAGGTCCGCAGCGCTTCCGCCTTGACACTGTCGACGTCCGAGACCGGCGCGGCCATACCGAGGCGCTCGGGCTCTCCTCGAGCACGTACGTGACGGAAGCGAAATTCGCAGCCGGCGAGCTTGATAAACGCCGCGCCCGACCGACCGACGCGAAGATACTGATGTTAATGTCAGTCTCTTCAAGAGATTGCGAGTCGCCGGCGAGCACGTTATCAGCGCGAAAACTGAACTCGCTGATCCGCTTCAGAGAGCTCTCTCGCTTTCTCTGCAAATGGAATTGTACGAGTTATTGGCGTAATATTGTGAGACGACGAATAAACAATTCGAGTAGCGTGCCCTGGCAGCACAAATTGGTTGGCTAATGTTTGGTCAACGTTGGGTCAACGGTTAGCCGAACAATTTGTGCTGCTCGGACTTCCAGTAAGTAAGAAACGTCAAATTAATGTTTGGAAATGTTTATTTTGTATGGATTTAATAAACATTTTGACATAATATTTTATAAATGTTTCCAAATCGTTCTTTGATAATATAATATTCCTAAATATTAAAGTCATAGTGTAGAAATATCATTTTTAATGTTTGGGTCAATATTGTTGACAATAATGTTGTATATGACATTAACCCTCGAATATCACGATTGGGTCGGGTCCGACTGAATCTGTATTCTAATGCTTCCATGCTTTTTATTTCAGATATTTTATACATTTTGTGATATACTTTATTTACTTTTAAATATTTTCTGGGTTATTGTGGAAATAAAAAGTGCCGAGTCAAAAAAAAATTAGTTAAAAATGTTACAAAATGCTAGAGTCCAACCCATCTTATTATACGTCTGACTGGATGAATTTTGTTATTCGAGAGTTAAGAACTACATATTTTAAAACGTCACATGTTGTAAAATATTATTGTAATAATATTGTTATTGATGATTTCTTGCTTACTAGGTTGAACATTCTAAAAATCATCCCGAATGTGTTCAGAGCATTTTGGAAAACGTTCTAAAATGTTCTAGGCACATTTAAAACAGCCTCAGGAACGTTTTGTGCTATTTGAAAAGTTGGAGGAGAACCTAGCATGTTGGTGACTGTTAGCGTATTATTTTAGTTCAAGGCGTTCGATTATTCATGCTATTACCGTCGCTACGCGATTACGAGATATGCGTTTAATTAACTGTCGACGCGGATATCCAAAGTGATTTACTCGCGCGAATGTTTGTAAGTGTTTATTGTGGAGTGTAGCGTTATCGGAACGCGCGCATTCTATTTGTTAGTATAGTCGCGATACGAGCCACATTCATTATATCCGCAATTTACTGAAAAATTTCAAGTGAAATTATTCTCTCTGAACAACGATCCGTCCTGTCTCCGAAGCTGCACGAAGTTTACTCGGCATTAATTAAAAGTTATGCTATATAAAAATTAAAAGTAACTTTCTACAATGAAAATATTACGTATAAAGAATATGAATTTCTGAATATATAAGTTCCTGACGTAAAAAATGCAGAGATACAATGCGTTACGAATATTTCCTCGTAAATATTATATAAAATAAAGATGTAGTAGCTTATATACACAATTATAATTAAAAGGTCACACTGCGATTTTTCGCATATAATCGTTATACTTTTATCGTTGGTAATTTTATCGCAATTAAATCACTTCACGACATATACCCTGTAAGGAGCTTTCCGATAATTTCACGACTCCGCAGTTATTCTTTCAATCTCTCTCTTCCCACGAAATATTCTACAGAAATAACATAGAACAGCCTGATGTAAAGAAACGGTTCTTTTATCTACCATCGGGCTTACGCGATGAGATATACACTTATTACTCGTTGGCTCGCGAGGCGACGTTCGATTTGCAGTGAGCGCGATTCAGTGCGCTACTCCGACCACCACCACCACTACGTCCGCCGCCGCTTCCACCGCCACCTCCGTCGTTGTCAGCGCGATGCAGGTGTTCTCGTTGACAAGACTCAACTAACAGGAAGACGCGTAAGTCGGGTTGCGGCGATAAACTCGGCTTTCGACGAGGATATATTATGGACACGCTGCGGGCGATTTAACGGCAAACTACCGCGGAGAATGTGCCATGTCGGTCTCGGATCCTCTCGTCAAAGAGTTGAAAGGTAATCTCCCAATTGAGCAGGTTAGTCGCGTCGTTAAACATGCACAAGGATTTATGACTCTTTCTCTTTTCGTAATTATATTTACTATACTTTATGTATGACGTTTAGAAATTACTGTTGTGTGAAATATTAATTTATAGTGATCAGTGTCGATTTCTGTGATAATTATAGAAGGAAGATGTATGTACGTAAATTTGATATCGTGTTCGGATCAAACTGTGTTATCAGATAAGATCCACCACATAATTAGTAGTAATGCATAATGTTCCGATAAATATATATAAATATTTTATCTTGAATTTAACTCTTAGTGTTTTTACTTTATTACCTGTTTTGTGTCGATAAGCGTCAGAAGATTGTTATCATATGTCGTTAATGTCAAATCAGTCTTTACCTTAATGAGTTGTTTGAGAAAGGAAAGAAACTATTTTAAATTGAAATGATGAGATAAAATTGTAACTCTCTGTTATGTATTAATTACAACATATATAATTGTAATATATATATATATGAACTTATCTATTATGTAAATACTATACACTACATATATTGTATATATTTCAGGATGGACTCGAAAGCTGATAGAGCACGGTACGGAGATCACTGATGAAAACGAGGACTTGTTATCTTTCTGCAAATGTTTGGAGAACTGCCTACATAAAGGTTTATTACCTTGTCTCAGTATTGGATACCTGAAGGGACCCAGCGCATGGCACTGGTTAGAACACGTTGCTCAGAAAAATTACAGGTGAAACAATCTGACTGCTTCTTTATGTATCAATAATTTATAATTCCACTCGATATATCTTACTTAATGTCGATGTGGTTTTCAGCTCATACAGTACATTATCTTTAGTGGCAGAGCAAACAGAACAGAATCCAAAGGTACACACATCTACCGGACGATTTCGTCTTCTAATAAGGATATGTCTAGTACGGAAATGCCTTCACATGCCGGTAGAAATATTGGTAAGACATTCTTTATAGCCCAGTAAGAAATCATTAACATAACATTGTTATGATATTTGATAACACGTAACGTTTTCAAATATATAGTTAATATTATATACAGCATCATTGTCAACAATATTTGATCGAAACATTAAAAATAATATTTCTGTACTATAATTTTAATATTTAGGAATATTATATTATCCAGTAACCATTTAAAAACATTTGTAAAATATTATGCCAAAATGTTTATTAAATCCACATAAAATCAATATTTCAAAAGACAGATTTAATGTTTCTTGCTTAATGGGAGTAAACTGCGTTCGGTATACATCAGAATTAATGAAACTTCTACCGAAAACAATACTGATAAAAAAATCTATAATTGGGTCCCCAGACCAGAATTCCAACTTTAGCTGCCGAGTTTTACGACCTGAAGAGTATTCTAGGAGATGACATTCTACGGGAGATACTGCTGTCCGTTCTACTACAATGCAGTAAATTGAATTTCAAACTGAATTTGCGAAACGCGACCTTCCTGGACGACACATGGCAGATGCCGCAGTGCGTAGCTCTGCAATTGGTACCTTGCAAGAACTTGGGCATCTCTGTATGGTGAGTGTTCGTCTCGACGAAAGAGGATAAGGTGATCTCTATGTGGCTAATCCAACTTGCGACTGTGCTTTACAGTTTCACGAACGAGAAGGCGTTGATCATCAACGTCGACGAGAAGTCGGTAGCCGCGGAAGACGTAAGAAAAGTCCCAAGTACTTCTAGCGTAACGTAGCAGAATTAATAAATGGGCGATTTCACACAACTTGGTCATTTTTACACGTGTAAAACAGAATAAAGTCGAGATCGGGGACGTGCTGGACGAGATAAACGAGAGTATCATCACTGGTGACAGTAAGGGCAAGCTACGTAAGATTATGAGGAAGGCCAGTGGTCAGCCGATCATGTTACATATCATCAAGGTGCGTATCTCGCGAGTAACGCGAGATATACAAAAAAAGATACGTCCTGATATACGTAAATGATATGTTTAATGCATTACTGCGCCTTTCTAGTATCGTACCAAGAAGACCCGTGAACTCTACGAGCCAATAGTGCACCTTATCAAAAGCTCGGGTGTCGAGAGCATGAAGTCTTTGATACAAATATCGCAATCGGACCAGGTGCAAGCCACCAAAGTAAACCAGCCGTCTGAATTAGAGAATAAAACGCTAGGCAGTGGATTCTGCGTCAAATACTGCGGCTCTGTACACGTGGGTGCGAAGGGTGACGTCAAGCAAATCGAGAAGGTCATTTGGAGTCTACTGAAATCCGGAGAAGTGAAACAAGTGCCTGTCAGATTCGAGTGTTTAGAAATCGGGATTAAAGTAGCACGCGAGGTAGATGATAAGGTACAGTTATTGGTAGTAATAACTTCACTTAGAAATAATTATGTAGATATAAAAACACATATGTCGAATCTATGATGAATCTAAGAAAGCGACATTCCTGTTTTTCAGGTAATATGCAAACAAAGTTACATGGAAATCTCGTCCTGTGGACGCACCACTAATATTCCGGATTACTTTGCATTCATCGCAGGGTGAGTTCTATTACAGATTAGTATTAGAATAAATTATATCAATATGTTAGAAAAACGACTGACTTATCGTTCAAGATAATGATTTATGCCTTAGATCTCTGTCTTTAAGGCCCAATTTTTCATTTTCCCAGCCTTCTACTAAGGTTCTCTTAGTCTGAATCACTTGCATGATTAACACATCTCATCCTTTTTAGGGAGACTAATTGTAACGTAGCAACAAAATTCGACGCCTTCGTCTTTCACCATCAAAACGAGAATGAGGTCCAACAGGTACTGCAGAGTCTGGGACAGGGATTCCAGCGCACGCATTTTGCAGTATAAAACAATACACAATACGTGCATAGATTTAGAGATGCATGCGGAAAAGAAAAGTATCCTTACTTTTCTATCTTCCATGTGTAATTTATTAATAATATCACTCCTGTACCTGTGATCGTGAAACTCTCCCCAATAAAACTGTAAGAATTGTCACGTTAATATTGATCACTTGATATTTGTTAACTCACGATTTGATCCTTGATCCTTTCGTGCGACTTGTCACCAGCTCTTCATACTTTAATGAAATGCTCGGTTCAGTCGATTCGTTCACAGATCGATAATAACTCAGCAATGGAAACGTCCGATGACAAACACACTGCGTGAGCATCGAGGTCACGTCAGGTCAGATGAAATATGTCATGTCACGGGGTCGCGAGTCTGACTGTTCTAGTTGCACCTTTTATTTTACGTCGAGAGTACCCAGGGAGTTGAAATCCGAATGATACGAGCATAAGTTTCATTGTAATGCACGTATATCTGGATAGATGGCGATAGTAGCTATTACCAGTACCCCATGTCTCGTTGGCGAGACAACAAATAAATTCCGCATAAATTGGGCTAAATTGTACTTTCGCCAAATTTTGTGTTGTCATTTATATTCTACACTTTTGCAACGATTCATCGCGTCTCTTTGGAAAATATTATTTGGCAGCTTGTTGACAACTTTTCTATTATTCTCGACTTAAGGGGCACACAATATATATATATATATATATATATAAATTTGTATACAGAGGTTATTGCAAAATAAAAAGTGCGGATATATTTCTCATGACAAAAGGAGCAAGGAAGTGAATTTAAAACGCACGAACCTCATATTGTCGAGTGCGACATGTGCGTATTACGTGACGCGTGACCTGTCATCGTCGTCCCCGCGTCGTCGTCACCTCAGTTCGGCAGTGCTCGGCGCCGCTCGGTTCTCTCTCTCTCTCTCTCTCTCTTTCTCTCGCGGACTCCTCGGCCAGGGTGGCGGGGCAGGCGGGCTCGGTTACCGAGCGGGTGAGCGAGGCTAGGACAACGATCAGAGGAAAGATGGCTGCCGCGGCGAACGTTGCGCCGGAGAACCAGTACTTTTATGAGGATGTCGTGTACCGTGTGGACAAGCGAGGCAACGTAGTTTTCGGCATCGTAATGGAGAACGACGACCACGACATGTCCGAGGAAAGTACCGACAGCGAGGAGAGTATGCCGAAGCGGAAAAAGGGCGAGATCCGCACGATCTGGCACCCGTCCGGCATCGAGGAGTTGGTCAACTGCAAGAAGGTATACGAACGCGTATTATACTCACGTTCCTTCCCGTCTCGCGGTGGGTGATCGATTTTCGACAACATCCCCGAGGCATCGGCGAAGTCCCGTTACTGTTTAACTTGACAGTACGGAAGACGACATCTTTCGCAGCCCCACGTCACTCATGCGGTGCCGGAATACGTTGGAATTTCGAATCGTGATTCCAGATTAAGTTCTGTGATGATGTTACCTGCTTTCAGATTCACCTGGCGGACAGAACGCTCATGCCCGGAGACGTGGTGCGCAGGATGATCAAGGGAAAGGACACGCAACGGGGTTACTGCAGGGACATCGAGCTGACTGCGTGTGTACAAGTAATCGGTACCAAGCAGGTTCTCACGGACATTAAAAGTGAAGATCTGATCCCTCTGCAAGTATGTGGATGTTTCCGCGGCTACACTGCAGTATCGTTTATGCATACTGAAACAGACAGTTGTCATTTGTAGGAATTTGCGACAGATATGGCAGTATGTATGGACTCCTGGGTTGGTGGCATCAGAATGACGCACTGCAAATTATGGTTGGTAACGCCGGACGGTTCTCACTGTGTCGTGAACGAGATGAACTCCTACGTGTTGGGACAATTGGAAGAGACGCGAGACAATGTAAGATGTCAAACAGTCCGTCATTCATTTGACAGAAGCGCTTTAGGACCTTGCGATAAGAGTGACAAATGTCTTTCTCAGGACAACGATTTCCCGCACTCCACTGAGTTTTACCCGGGGCAGAGTCTTTGGGGCCCGGTTCACTGTCTGGAAGAGGCTCAGTGGATCCATTGTACAAAGGAGATGAAGGCGAAGAGGAAATTGAAGCCACAGAAGATCACGAAAGTGATCGTGGAGAAAGTGGAGACCGACTGGGTAGGCGTGCACTGGCAGTGCCGAGCGTACTCGAAAGACGGCGCCTGGTCCGACCAAGCTCAACCGAAATTCGTGGTCGAGGGCGAGGACTTGAAGAAGTTGAAGCTGCTGAACGTGTTCGAGCCGTCCACAGTACAGGTCGGGGATCGTAACTTCTACGTGATCAAGGGTGACGAGAACGTCATTACCCGGGAGCAGTGGCGGAAGCAGCAGAGGGATATCTTCCAGGTTCCTAAGCAGAGCCCGAAAAAGACGCGGCCGATCATCACGGTGACGAAGCTGCTGGACGATAAGAAGAAGGAGCAGAGGAAGGAGAAGACGCCCGAGCCGCAGCCGGCGGACGAGAATGCTCAAAGTAACACGCAAGACACCACGAGCAACAACTCTCTGTTGCTGCCGCCCCAAGCTCAACACGCCGAGAGCTCCGACGAGTGGGACACCGAGGACACCACCGGCTCGCAAAGTGATACCGCCTCGGTAAATCACTCCTCTTTCCTTTTCCCTCTCTTCAGATGGACGAGAAAATAAGAACGCGGAAATGATGACTCGTGTATTCCCATAGGTCTCCAGTGGCTGTTCCAGCATGTCATCAATGGGAAAGAAAAAGAAGGGCCCTGCATTGATGACAAAAGTGCTTAAGAAAAAGAAGTTGCGAAAAGCGAAGAAGAAAGTGCCGCCGGTGCCGTTAATCCCCGGGACTAAGATAGTCGTCGAGACGTTGTCCACTAATACGAAAGCCAACGTGGTATGGCAAGACGGCTCAGTAGAATTTGGTATTAATAATTATATTACATATATACGATATATTCATCGTTCGTATTATAACGAATTATGTTCAATTTCGTTCATTTTAACGGAAAATTATCCGACAGATGTCGCGATTCACTTGTGATACCACCGATGAATATTACTTTCTAAAGAAAGAGAGAAATTGAAGTTATACGAAATATTCATATCGTGCGTGATGCTTGACGTCGTTTTTTCTATTTTTCAAGGCATACCATCAACACAATTGTATCCGATCCATCACCTGGACGATAAAGAATTTTTCCCAGGTGATTTCGTCGTGGATCAAAAGGAGGAATCCAGGATGTACGGTGTTGTACAAAGTGTCGACCATCAAGGCCGTACAGCCAAAATAAAGTGGTTCAGGACTTATACCTCTAGTCAAAATCCAGAGTAAGTGCACGAACAATTTCCTCTCAAATATTCCTTCTCACATCTGTACTTTGTTCTCCGTGGTTTGTTCGATTCGAACCCGAATAATACGAAAATTTCGAATCGAAAAGATTCGAATTGCGTATTTTGACATTGACGAAATATTATGAAAGATGTCCAGCCTTACGAGAATTAACTGGACTTGAAAAATTCGCCGTACGTTAAGATTCTCTTCGAAAATATTAAAAGTAGTTACTTAAGACGTCGGGAAGAGAGATACTTTTAAAATTGGCGTATTTCAATAAATTTTCAAGATATCAAATGAGTCGGTGGATAATGAAAAAGTGCTTGCGTCAGTGATAATTTTGATATAAATATCAAATTTGCTTATATTAATCTTATTATAATGTTAATGTTACAAATTATAATTATTCTGATGCGAGTCTCGCAGATATGCATATATATAATGCGCAGTATATTACATATTCTTATGTAACTGCATTTCTGAAGTCATGCAGTTCCTGCATTGATTGTGAACAGCCGATAATGTCAACGCTCTTCAAAGTATTTTAGTCATTAATTTATGATCTTTCATTCAACTATTTCAATTATCGTTATTCTAATTAAAATATATATTTTAGCAGTATCAATTTTATTCTAAATATTTAAATATACGCATCTTACTTTAAAATAAATTGATATCACAAGATCGATATTATACCTCTTATCGAATTCTCCCTTCGCTATCTTCATGTTGAATTCAATGATTGAGTTATTAATTAAACGTTATGTTCCAACAATTTGATTCGGATTCTAAAACAAAAAAATGAGATTCGATTCGACATGAAAAATTCTTGATTCGCGTGTCTCGACTCTTGAGACTTTTCATAGTAATTCGAAAACGTCACGAACAAATGGAAGTAGTCGTTCAGTTTGCGCCAACTGCTTTCTTACAGGCCGACTTTTCTGGAGGAGCGCGAAGTGAGTGTCTACGATTTAAAGGATCATCCGGACTTCCAATACAGACCCGGCACTCTCGTGATCCGGATAGCGAATTTCGAGGGTGAGGACGCCGGATGTACCGCCGGCCAAGTGCTGGACAATTATCCCGAGGGCCGGGTGAAAGTATGGTGGGTCGACGGACACGTTAGTATGTGTTGGCCGCAGGATTTATACAAAGTGAGCGAGTACGACAGCGACGAGGGAGAACTGTGGGACGACGTGTCGTCCGACTCGTCGTGGGAGACAGAATTAGAAGACTGCTTTATCGCCGACAACGACGGCACCGAGCAAACGGAACTGGAGAACATCAAGCCGAAGCTGGCGGCGCACATCGAGAAGGCACGCATCGCTATGTCAAGATTAGAGGAGATCTTCACGCAGAACCCGCTGTTGCAGACTACCGAGGTCATGAGGAAGTTACTCGAGGTCTACAAGGATTGCCGTTACATGGACAAGCTCATGGGGACCTCGTTCTTTCACGAGTGCCACTTCCAAGGCCTGCTCGAGCGGGTGAGGGAACGTGGCAGGGCGAACGTCGCGCAACGTATGGCGGATCAAGTGACGCGGCTCTTCACACCCAAGTCTGAGTGTCCGGAGGAGTCCAGTCTGAAGGTATCCGACGATCAGTGCGCGAACAGCGCGTCGGACAAGCAGGACCCCGCGATTATGGACACGTCGGAGAGCGAGAACCTGGTGACACCGGTGGGTGTCGACAACCTCGTGAAAAGGCAGAGTAACGAGGAGTCGGTCAACCGACTGTTCATACGCGCCACTCCCAATCCCGAGGACTCCGGCTTATACTCCGCGGAGAACTCGAAGAAGGAGTCGGGCTCGAGCGAGTCCAGCGGCGAGTTCCTCATGAGCGAGGACGTGAACAACCTGCCGGAGTGCTCGTCCGCGACGGACGTGGCGGCACCGTCCGAGAAAGACGCGACGAGCCGGGTGAGGAGGAGCCCGCCGACGAATCTGGCGAGTTCGCAGGTCGGCGCGTCGCACGTTTGCGTGAAGTTATGTAACCTCATCAAGGCACAGCTCGTGTTGGCGCACGCCGAGGTGTCCAGGCGTTTTGGTCTGGGTAAGATGTCGTTGTCGGACGCGGAGAAGAGTTCCGGCTCTCCGCGGAAGAAGCAGAAGGGCGAGCAGGAGGAAGAGCGAAGCGTCAACGAGGTGATCGCCGAGCCATCCGACAGCTCCGTCGAGATCCCGGAACCGGTCTACGACGAGGGGGAGGGCTTCTCCATCGACGAGGCCGCGCCCGACAGTCACAAGTTCAAACTGACCATGTTCCAGCCCACCGACCCGACCAACTTCTTCCGGACAGTCTCGAGGGAGCTGAAGCTGCTGAAGAGCTCGTTACCGCCGGGCGTGTGGGTGAAGGGATTCGAGGACCGTATTGACCTGTACTCCGTCATGTTCCGTGGCCCCGAGAAGACGCCCTACGAGGACGGGCTGTTTCTCTTTGACTTTCAGCTGTCGGCCGACTACCCGGCCGCGCCGCCTCTTTGCCACTACATCTCCTATTGCAGCGACCGTTTGAACCCGAACCTCTACGAGGACGGGAAGGTGTGCGTGAGCCTATTGGGCACCTGGTCCGGACGCGGCACGGAGGTGTGGACGAGCTCGTCCACCCTGCTGCAGGTGATCGTTTCGATCCAGGGCCTGATCCTCGTGAGCGAGCCGTACTTCAACGAGGCCGGCTTCGAGAAGCAGAAGGGCTCGCAGCAAGGACGGGAGAACTCGAGGATGTACAACGAGATGGTCGTGTTGAAGCTGGTGCAGGCGCAGACCAAACTGCTGCTGCACCCGCCGCCGGTCTTCAAGGACATCATCATCGCGCACTTCCAGAAACATTCGGAGAAGCTGCTGCTGAGACTGGAACAGTGGATGGAGATATCCGAGCAGCACAACAAGCAGCATCCGTTGTCTCCGGTCACTCCCACCACGTTCAAAGAGATCGCCGAGATTGGTACGACGGGTCTTCTTGTCCCTCTTTCTCGCTTGCACGCAGGAATTCTGTCTTATCACGTCACAGACGGCAGGCGATTGTCTTGATCTCTTTTCTTTCCTCTTCTTACAGACGAGAAGATGTTGCCCGAGTTCCCGCTCATCCCGGCGTCCCGGGGCTTCTGTATAACCCTCCGCAAGACTTTAGCTACGTTCAAAGAGGTGCTCGTTAAAGAGAATATAATACAAAGGCCGAGTGAGTGGCAGGACAGTGATATCGTTGAGGAATTAACGAACAATACCGCCATACAGTGCCAAGAAACGTCCAAGGCCGCCGACAGAGCGGCGACCTGTGACAGGAACAGCAGCAATACGCAGGAAAGTAATAACAAGCCGACCCCGAGCGGCAGTAGTCGATCCGTTAGTAAGGAGGCGACGGCGTCATCCTCGTCAACGAATAGCTCCGCGGCCGCGCTGAGCGAAACGAAAACAAGTACTTCGAGCCAAAACACCAGCTAGCCACAAGGTAAAAGTAAGCTTAAGTCGAAACGCTTAGCCCGTATAAATTATACGACTATTCGGTAATATATATTCCAATAAATTCTCATCTCGGGCGGAATTTTCCAATCATACATACACACACACTTACATATACAGACATATATACACGCGTATACATGCTGATGACAAGCGCTGACACATACCCGCGGCATATATATCTATCGATAATAACGTCATTTAACAAATCGCAACGCGCGATAAAACTCCCCAGGAACAGAAATGCTGGCGGTCGTTGCTCTCCACAGCTAGAGACTACACACTTGTTGTTCTAAGAGTAACCACATAGCGGACACACGCGTTAAGCGCGATCATAGTGGCACGTAACGAACGACTTTGCAAATCTTACAACTCGCACACGACTTTTCGTACACCGTCGAGAACCGACGAGCCGTAAAGATCCGACTGTGAAGCACGTCGAATTGACGTTAGGCGCCAAAGAGCACGAGGGGAGGAGGAAGAAAGGGGGAGGAAATCTCTGTAATACCCTCTGGCATTTAGCTGCGCGCTTCTAAATGAAGGTATTACGTTGCCTCTGTGACAAATAAGAAGCTAGTTCGAATTTCGATTTAGCGAGTGAAAAGAAAACAAGAGAGAGAGAGAGAGAGAGAGAGAGAAGCTGTATATGAAACTTAGCGTGGAAGTATAAAAGTGAGATTCGCCATTCTGTAAAAAAAAAGAGAGAGAGAGGAAGAATGAAAGAGAGGGAGAGAGCAAAGAAAAGAAGAAACCCGCGGCGGAAGAGATAGAGACCAGTAGCAATACGTCGAATTAACGAGGTTAGAACGAGAAGATACTCTTTGCAATAGGATTTTAAAGAGATATACATCGTTTAAACAATAAATAGTCGATAATTCTGAGCGCGTTTTCACGACCGCACCTTGAGTAATGACGCCGTCGAGGCGAAACGAATGGATCGATGATCGATTATTCCCGTCGAGTGTGTGTATCTCGAAGTTATTAATGCCATCCATAAGAAGTACTACGATATTCTCATGCGAAACTTATCGAGGTGACTTTAATCGCAAAAGGTAGGGCAGATAGCTTTTAGGAACAAACAAATAACAAGAAATCCGTATCTAGATGAGAACTCTCTACCGACGATGGCTATTTGTTCGGTGTTATGGATTTTCTTAGCGATAGCTTGTAAAAGAGATGGTAGAGGCGACTTAGCGAAGCGCATTTCAAGTCCACGATCAATCTCTTCCCCCAGTCGAGAAGTCTCTCCGTGCATTTCCACGACATTCTCCTTCCATTCCTGTGCGCGTTCATTTTCGAGGAAGAGTTTACGACTGATTTCTCTACTTAGTGTCGTTCTAATTATTATTATTACTATTATTAATATTGTTATTATTATTATTTAGAAAATTAATATTTATGGTGCACCGTATATAAGTGGAGTACAGTATTATATTTATTTATTTCATTCATGCGTACACTTATGCGTACATGTATGCGTCATACATGTTACACGTCGAAAGAGTTAACGGGATTAAAAAGTAAGGTCCGCTCAAAAGTCATCCGGAGGGGAAGACTTTACGAGGCAAGCTTGATGATTCGGTCGGGAATTGACGGTGAAGTGATACACAAGCGATATGCGAGTCGAGGACGCGAAATAAGAGGTTGAAGAAAAAGAACGCGCGAAGCGGTATCATCGAGCGATTCGTCAGCAGGTGTCATCTATCCCGTTTCGCATCGATTGTGTTCGATCGTGTCTGCGAGGAACCATGCGTCAAATAATAGTCGAGAGTCATGTAAAAAATGAAGAGGGGACAAAAGAGAACGACGAAATACCTATTCTAGTCCATGGTCTGCTCTTTTTAGCTGAACTAGCTGCATTAATTCAAGGAATTTACACACACCGAAGCGTGAGAATCTCGTGTGTACGAATGTGTATGTAAATTTCTTGAACTAGTTAGGCCGGTAAAACTAAAAAAGAACAGACCAATTGAGATGTATGAAGCGTAGGTACGCGAGATTCCCACGCTTCGGTGTGCGTAAATTTCTTGAACTGGTGCAGCCGATTCAGCTGAAAAGGACAGACCACAATACGAAGTCCTGTGTATGGCGGATATTTGTTTGATTTTTATTTGTCTTCTTCTTTGTTCCTTTCCTCTTTTAATATTCGTTCGAGACTGTTCCTCCTGCCTCTCACGTTCCCTTCCCCCACCGTTCCGCCCCTGTTCCTTCTCTTTCGCTCTCTCGCTCGTTGTCATGATCGATTTTGGGATTGTTTCACTTACCACAGGCGAAATCGTCGTCGTTTCCTCGCGTCTGCGAATTTTCAGTTCGTCCGAACGTCTATCAAGCCCGACCTCTGGACACATTCGCGTCTCTCCGTTATTGTACAACTCGCGTCAGGATGCGCACGGATTCGGCCGAAATTGCAACGATTTCGTGATACAATGGTTTACTATAGATGTAACTCGGTCTCTCTTTGAGTTTTGAATCAATAAAAAGACATTACAGGATCACAACGGACATCGAGGCGTTGTTGTGTTATATTATCTGCGCGTCGACCCTCACGAGTTCCTTCATCCCGCCATACTTCGACGATCCTGTATCGTTGGTACTTTGATCTCGACATCATCGCAAGTAACAAAGTTGTGCGATACAAATGAAACGCTTATTTGTGAATAATTGTATAAATTTCAATTATTCATAGTTTGTGCTAATTTAGAAAATTTTACACAGCAAAATTAGTAGGTAAAATTATTAAACCACGTAAACAAATGTAGAGACAGTAGGAGCTTCTTAACTGAAACGATATGTGGAAAGAGGGGAGGAGTAATTATTAATCAAATTGAAAGAATAAATCCTCCCCGTAAATGTATAATATATAACAATCTGTTTTTAATTTTCCTACAGTTTGTGAATATATTTTATTCTTTTTTATTTTGCTCTTTTTATCTTGTTTTATTTTACTATATTATTTTACGTATGTATACTTATATTTTTATCCTTTGCTTTCAATTGAAATCATATATATATATATATATATATATATATATCTTGCTTTTTTTTTTAAAGAAAGCTTTCTCATTAATAAATAAATTATTCAATTATTGCGTCTGCGACGACTTACTGTTCAGATATTTGTTTATGTGGTTATTTATATCTTGTCGATATTTATTTGCCAATATCTTAGAAGTGAAAATTATTAATTATCTATGTTGTAGATTTGTACAATAGCTGGTTGAAAAGGTGTAATGATCCGCATTCATATCGTACAAAGTGTAAAGAATATGTTCCACTATCGCGAGATAGATAAGCCATCGTTTCTTTCTTATCTACTTATCACACAGGGTATGAATCAGTGCGAGCATGATAGACGCCATTTAGTTAAAAGCAAGTTAAGTTCAAAGCAACTTGTTCTCCACCTCTTCTACGTTGTACGTCTTTTTCTACGTTGTATCGTGAAAGTTTTTCAAAATGTGCTCAAAAAGGTTTATGTGTTATTTGGCTATCGCTTTACGTAAGTAAGACTCAGTAATATTTAATAGGACCTTAATTATCGAATGTGTGAAAAAAAAAAGGTGGCGAGAAATCCGCCTAGATCGAGACTTACATAATTTTAAAGCTTACGCGCATAACGTCGCAAATTCGCAAAATAACTCTATAATAGAATAATAATAACTCCAATTACAACGGTTTCGACCTTACGTACATACGTGCAAGGTTGAAAATCGCGTAATTTTCAATCTAGCGAATGGTAAGGCGTATGTGACACATAAACGAATCATAACAATTCTTCTCTTTTTCTCTGAAACACCGGACAGTTGTGATGGGAACATTCCTGGAGGAAGTCGAAGCGAGGCGCAAAATTCTGAGGGGCCGAAAGACCATAAACAGACAATATTACAGTAAGTCGAGAGTGTAATTCGGAAGTTGCGTATGTCGAAGTGGTATAAGCACATCGCTCGAAAAATGTATGTTGAATCATTTTTTAGAAGGCACAGCCATACCGGCCTGGGCGATAGTGGTTTTGGCGGGCGTCGCTATGCTATTGGTCGGCGCTGGACTCTTCGTGGTGCTGCAGAAATTCGTGGTTGACGCCGCTGACACCGGCGAGCATCACACTTATCAGCCTGCTTTGCAGATAGAAAGTTGAATCTACTCTCTATTGGCTAGCCAGGACAGACGTATCTGTTACGAGACACCGAATATAACCATTATAAATTATCTAACGCAGAAGGCTAGGGAAAAGAAACGTGCTTCTTCTAGAAACACAATGGTGTGTTCTCGCTTTATTTCCGCATAATTATTCTGGATCTTTGTATTTATCTAATTAATCTCCTGAATCTTGCATTAGGTAATATCAAATTGTACGATACCGTTGCCCACAGAATATTAACATTCAAGTAAAATCGTCACTTGTTATCGAATTGTTTGTGACCTTCAAAGCGGGAGAAGAGGAACGCAATTCGTTCGTAGGTTTCTTTACGCATTGCTTGGATACTTCAATGGATTTTGTTGCATGGACAACATACAGACACACACACTCACACACACACACACACACACACACACACACGAAGCGTTTCTAGCTTGCGAAATACGTATAGATATTAGCAATTTCCCGCTTCGAAGCACGCTATATATGTATATAGTGGGTATGCGCCGTCCCGAAAAGAAACGCGATTCGAAAAGCGGTCTATCCAAATCATAATCCCGAGATTCGAATATCGATACAATCTCCCGAAATTGTGGAAATTTACAGTTGTACACGGCGTAGTTGTTACAATATCGAAATCAATACAGAACAATGTACCAAGATATAGTTTCCCAGAAATATTTCAAGAATAGCTCGGTGTCTGATATACAAGCGCACACACAATTAATAATTTATACATAATAATTTATACATAAATGTTTAAGGTAAGATATATTTCGAAAAATTATCTCGGTATTTTGGATCGTAGGATTAAGATTTTTCATGAAGTTGTCCCACTTTTCTAATTACGATAGGGGTTCTTTTTTTCGGGAAAATATATGCCCACCGTTTATACATACACATTACATTATATTCATATACATTAGAATATATATACATATATATATATATACATATATATATATATATATATATGTATAATTAATATTAAACGGTATGAAAAGACGAGTCTCTACAGCTTAAAATTCTCTACGGTGGTATTTGTCAGGATCGAAATACGACGTAACAACTACGCGGTTGTTGAATTTCCGTCCTGTGAGAGTTTGCTGCGCCTTTTGACAATCAATCACGCTATTGAATTCAACAAACACCTGCAACGAAACAAAGGGCGTGTCGATTATAAACTAACATCTCATACGTATCAACATCAAATAAAAAAGTTAAGAATATCGAACGTACCTTGCCGCATCCAGGTACATCGACTCCCTCGATGGGTCTCGGGATTTCCACGGATCGTACCACGCCGTATTTGTTGCATTCTTCTTTAATATCTTCGAGAATGTCCTCGTACTCTTCTTCTTCCATTAATTCTTCGGGCGTGACCATATTAAGCAGGCAAAGCACCTAAAAGTATTGTAAAGCATCAAATCACATAATTATTGTAAAATTTTGTACAAAATAAAGCTTATATAATTATATTACATATAGGTTGGGCCATTTTAATATCCCCACCTAAGTATCATTTTTCTATGTTTTTTTACAAAAAATATTTCAGACAAATAAAAAACTATATGATTCTATAAAAAAAAAATGAAGTTGACTTTGAAATGACCTTGAAGAAATCACATAAGAGCAATTCAAAATCATCGTATTATTCCTCCCCTCAAAATCTTCAAATTTTCATCTGAAACATGTTTTTGTAAAAAAAAAAAAAAAAAAACGTGGAAGAAAAAATATTTAGGCGGGGACATTAAAATGACCCACCCTGCATATATTTGTTCCAAAATATATTTTGGATCAAATCAGGATAATTTTGTGCTCGTATCGGGAACTTACTTCCGTCGCAGGTCCGCTCGAGCCCACCATGGACAAACCAGGCACTTGAATTTGTACTGGAGCTTGTGTACCTATCATAGGATTCTTCGCACCCACGCTGGCGCGTTGCACAATCAGTTTCTTGTCACCCAACTGCATTCCATTCAGACCCGCGATAGCTTGGTCGGTCATAGAGACATCAACGTATTCGCAGAAGGCATAGCCCTTGGAGAGCCCAGTCGCGGAATCCTTCACTAGGTTGAATGCCCTTAACTGACCGAAGCTCATCAACAGCTCCTTCACCTGTATCATCATGAAAACGTTACTCCCTCGCCCACCCGACGCTAAAATTTCGGAATCTACCAAATGTAGACTATGCAACTGCAGTACCGGTCGATCGTACAATTTTGCAATTGAATGCGCAAGAGACGCGTTTACCCGCGCGTCTCTCTTTCTCTGTCTTTGTATCCGCCAAGTATACCATCGCACGTGTAACTTTTTTTAAATGAAATTTATCGTTATCAAAGCGGGAGAAAAGAAAGATAGTTCAGGACAGCTTTGTTTTTATTAGGCTCTCGCGATTAATAGCAAAAATAGCAAAGAGGTCCGGTCGGGTCTCCGACGATTACGCGAACGGAATAACTCGACAAGGAAGTTGCATCGTCTCTTAGTGCGATAGGTGGAATATAAATGCACAGATATGCTTGCGTATCTCAACCACTCTTTCCTCAGTAGCGACTCCTCACGCGCCTCGCCTTCGTCTCCGACGAAACCGACAATTACCGTTGCGTGCCAGCTCTCGCGTCATTTCCTCTACACCTTTCGTTATCTCGAGCAACCAATCTCGCTCGAGACACACCTCGAGATACCTCGTACTCTCTAATGATGTAATACGGAAGTAACGTATAGATACGTTGAACATACTTACGTGCGTCCGTGGGCAAAGATCCTGAAAACTCAGAGACGTGTAGATAACAGCACGTTGCCCTCGTTAAAAGAGAGAAAAAAAAAATGACCGGAAAAAGTGAGAAAAATCGGGAAAAGCAAACCAGCTTCCCGTTGTTCTCGTTGCAATGATTGACCGAGGCTCGCGAAAAACTCTCTTGCGAAAAAACCACTCGGCGATCGAGCAACATGCTTTTATCGGCAGTAAAAAAAACTATCGAATCAGAGGACGCACCATTGGCACAGGAGAACCGAGGACACATCGAGGAAGGGGGCTACAAAATCGTCGCATAAACCCAATGTACGAAGGCATGAGAATGGTATTATAAGTACTTGCCTCGAGGGACTGGGCTAGCCTCTCTCCAGGCAGTGTGGTATTTTGTCATGTTCAGTAGTAGTAGTAGTGGTAGAAGTAGTGGTAGAAGTAGTGGTAGTGGTAAGCGAATGCTTTTGATCGGCACGACCCTAAGCTAAGAAATGGGGAGAAAGGGCACTGGTATCAGTCCACAGTTTACTACATAATGAGACGTTCATACTTTTTGTGCTTCTCTTTTTTTCTTTCGCTTTGCAAAGGAATACCGTTACGTTCGACTCTCCTCAATATGTCCAATGCAATTTTGCTCGTTTCATATTTTTTTTTTGTTTTTTTCTCGTTTTTTGCTATTCTCCGTTTCTCTGTGTATACTTTCGTGTTTTTTTTTTTTTTTTTTTTTTTTNTTGCAATGCATCGACACACAATATCTCTTTCGTTCGCGGTAACCTGTAAAACGTAACAACGAGGCACAAGACGAGATGCTGTAAAGCCTGAAAAGCCTGTAAAAAGAACAGCTGCAAAGAGAAAAAGGTACTTCCTGAAAAGAATATACACCGGAGAACTTGGAGCTGTTACCAGATGCACATAAAAATATGTGTTGACCCTGTAATCCCAAAAAAAAGAAAGAAAAGGAAAAATCTTCTGCTATACATATATATATGTAGATACACATATATGTAAAGACACGTTGACTCTTTTTGTTTCTTTTCTCGTAGACCTAAAAAAAATCCCTCGCAACGTGTGTCGTTGCCGGACGAGACGACTCTGCAAATATGCTTGGAGAAAAAAAAAAAGAAAAACTGGAAATGCAACAAGAGAGACACGAACAGCTTTTAGGGAAAGTCTCTTCCACCGACAAGCATACCACCCACGTGTACCTCTATCATCCTACTTGTCTTGAATTCTATGCCGCATGACTTGTGAAACATGAACGTGCCTTTCTATTTCTCTCTGGTCGATCTAGTACCACATATACACACACGTGAGAGCATCTAGTCGGAAACAAAACCCAAATCCCTCGTCTCCTTTTCCCCTCTTTTTTTTTTCCCCCATTAGCCCGTGATTTCCCTCGAGTGTTTTACTGTTCCTAAAAAAAAGGTGCCTAAATGCAAGACTCGTATCCTCATGATGGACTGGGTCCGCGACGTGCCTAGAGAGGCTGTAAGGAGAGGAAGATGAGAGCGTCGTGACTGCACACCACCTAAATGCTGTAACGCCACTAAGTTCCCTGATCTAACGTACGCACGGCGCTTGGCGCGTTGGAGAGCGATGTGCGAGAGTGATTCCGTCGTCGACAAATGGGAATGCGAATTGTTTCTCGTCTTCGAGACGGTTGAAAAGAGAGAGAGAAAGAAAGAGAGAGAGATAGAGAGATATATATAGAGGTAGGAAGAGAGAAAGAAAGAAAGAACATGAGGAAGGAACGAAGCCACGAACCGAGCCTGGCTAATGAGGAACCTAACCGACGCCGAAATCTGATGGAAACGCATACATACCTCTGTTGAGCTCGGGACACGTCCGGACGCGAGATTCGCTGCTCGCGTGAGTGCACTCACCGCTAAATAGCTAAATATACCTATATCATAATTTAGTCTCCTTTGAGGGTAACTTACAACGCAAAGGATTAGCGCGCTCACGTTCCTGCGCTCTAACCCCGTGCCGTTGCGTGGTATCGCGCGATGCAATTTTTCGCCGATCATTGAAGCCGTTTGCGATTACTCTAAACTTTCGATTAGTCGTGTCGACCGAAAATCGAGGCAAAATTTGCGACGGGCTCGATAACGCGCGGTCGAGCGTGACAGGCGTCAATGAGGAAAAACTGCATCCAAAGGTGTGCAATAGATAAAGGTATTTCACGGAGTTGCGAGCATACCTGTTCCTCGTTCAAATAATTGGGTAAACCACCGATGAAGATCTTGTGCGGCGAATCTAGAAGGAACAAACAAGGAATTAAGACGGGCGCAGATTGTATCGTCAGGCGGTCCGTTTTCTGCGGGAATATAAAATGTATGTTTAAAACATACCGGGGACCGTACCTGGCACGTTCATGCTTGGATTATCGGTCATTCCCGGCATTGGTTGGTAATCGTGCGGCCTTCTTATCTTCAAGCTTTGCCCCTTGAAGTTTATGCCGTCGAACGCCATGGCTTGTGTAGTCTCGTCTATCGAGCGAAACTGCATGAAAGAGAGAAAGCAAAATAAATATTGATATTATATAGCGCTATGCTATTTGATATCGATATTCTAGATCTTTTAGGTATTTGCAGTATCTTTGCAGTATTTGTACTATATGAATAATAAGAAATGGTATAAAGAATTATACCAGATAAATATGATAAAACAGGACAACCAAGTTATACCTCTAGAAATGCGAAATTTTTGTCTAAATTAATTTGACAAGCCAATACTGGGTTGCCAGCGGCTTGTGCGAGCCCCGACAGGTGCATCTGTTGATTAAAGAACTCCATCATCTCTTCCTCAGTAACACCGAATGGAATGTTCCCTACGTAAAGTCTTCTGGCTTGTCGAGTTATTGTACTGCCAACTACAGGCACAGCTGCTTGGGGTGTATCTGCTACAATATTCGCAGGTATTTGCCCAGCAGCCTGCATTGCTTTGTACTGCACAGATAAAAAACATATGTATACATAATAATCTAACAGCAGGATCATTCTATTTTGAGTAGAATAACAATAGATACAAAAAATAAAAGTGGAAGTGTTCTGTGCATAAGGGTTTACCTGCAAAGGCGTAATGTGTTCAAAGCCAGGTGGCGGCACATCCCAATACAAAGACGGTTTCCTTCTCCTAGAGCTGCGACTCTTCTTCGGCGAGTTACTCCTCTTCCGATCCCTGCGATCTTTCGAGCGAGAGCGTGACCGCTTTCTGCGGTCTCTGCTGCGTGACCGGTGCCTCCTATCACGATCTCTGTCCCTGTCCCTATCCTTATCCCTGTCTTGCCTGTCGCGATCTGGTTTTAGAAATTCAATTAAATCATAGTCCAAGTTGTCACGTGATTACATAACAGTGAGTTTTCATTATGGTCACTCATAAGTTAATGATATTCTCATAGTTACTTGGGATATTTTACTTCAAATGGAAACAATATATAGAGAAAATCTAGGACAGCAATAGCGTGTACAATAATTACATTATGACTGATCGAAAAAAATGTGTGTATATATATATACATATATACATACGTGTATATATATACATACACGATACACTTAATATAACACTATTGAGCGATATCGTTTAAGCTACGAAATTCTCATATTGCATTTCTCACAATGACATCATAGTTGGCGTAAATTAACGGCCGAGCTAAGCAATAGGGGATTCGTCGTACCAGAGATGTACTCCGAAGCTGTGTTTACTAGCTACGGTAACTATTCGCTCGCCCGGCCATTACATTTAAACAGATCGGCTAGCCAAGCTACAATAACGCGGGAATGTCGCGGAGTGAAAGTGAAGTTTGAGCGTATTGGTGTGCCGACTAACTCACCTCCATTGAAATCCTCGCCCATTCTCTAAACGCTACTTCGTCTAAATGAACTCGTGGCGAACGACGCCGAGAATAAGCTCGTACAATACACGGGAACGGACTTTAACTCACTACGAACTTATTCTCCGAAATGGCGTGCGATCGACTACACGAGAAATATGAAGTATGACGATGGTGAAGATGGTAAATATCGGCGGTAGAAATGACGATTTAAGCTCGTGACACACGGTGCTTGTTCGTGCGGATCTAGAGAAATCTAGTAACATAATAGAAATTCATCAATCAGAATGCAGCATTTCTAGTACATCACTACATCTCACTAGATCCAATATATAATAAGCAACGTGTGATGCGGGCTTTTACTGTAGTCTAGATCTATAATAGGTGTAGCAAGCTTCAAGCTATGAGAAATTGACCAATCATAATCAAGTATGAGAGGAATAATCGATTGTGACTGGTCAATTTCTTACGGCTTAAAACTCACTCTTTTTATTGTCGATCTGGAACTAGCTAATCGAAACGTCCGACAAACTCGTACGACGAATGAAATATTAACCTCATAATGTGGTGTGGGCATTCCTGCCCACACCACATTAGACTCTAGAGAAATCTAGAGACTGAATTAACGTTAGGGTTGCACGTTGCGAAAAACGTTTTGTTTGAAAAAGTTATTCAAATGCAATGTGAAAAATTGTTTTTAAATAATCTGTAAAGAAAATATATCATTAAAGAGGATTAAATCTATTGAAAGAGACTGATCTTTTACTCTTGTGGGACATCAACATGGAGGACATAGAACGTTGCATAAGGATCTCACAGCAGAAGAGACTCCTTAATCAACGAAAATTACAATCTCTAGACAAGGAGCCCAACGAACATACAGAAATGTTGAAGCAATTACAAGAGTTGCAAAGTATATATCTTTATTTCTGTTTTCTGCTTCCAAACACTGTTTGACTCTTACTGACTTGATTATTTTTTTTTTTTCATTATGTTTTTAATCGTGTATCATTAGAGTCATATTGCCCTTTGCTTTCCATATTAATTGATGAATTGTTGACAGGAAACACACAGCAGTGCAAGGAAAATATTACAAAGCATCTCAATATGATCAGAACCCATAAGCATACTATATATAAAATTGTACACTCCTCGGAACATATTTCAGGTTTGCCTGTACCACATAATAATGCACAGTATGTATAAAAATTTGCCTTTTACTTTTCTTTAATTATCGCATAATTTTGATACAATCTACTTTTTCACAGGGATGTGAAAACAATGTTTGCTGAAGCCATTCATTTTCTGAATAACATAGGAGATACTTATGAAACGCTGAATAATGTAAAAAAAAAAGATATAGATCCTTCAGAGCTGGTTGAAGCTGTGGTAAGTATTAGAAATTGTTCGGATATAAATTTAATAAATGCGATCTTAACTAAAAATCTTTCAATTTTCCATTAGACAATGTGCACACAGGCTGTAGGAAATGAGTTGTATCAAACAAGATGTCGTATTGCACAGCTGGAAACATTGAAGGATAACATATCTGTCCTCCAGCAACATATCTTAAATAGTAGCTGCAGTAACAACAGTGGTAATATTTCATACTTGTAATAAGCTTGTGAATTTTACAATGTGTGCATGTATGTATATTAAGATAAAAAGTGAAAACCGTATCTTTTATTTATCATAAGAAAAAGCATTGCATTAATTGATATAATAATTTACATTAAATAATAATTTATATAATGACAAAATATTATTTCCAGATGAAACTATGGGCTTGACCATGAGCGGTGAGTCGACAGACAGTGCATCGACTATAAAATGATATATGTGATATAAAAAAATAAAAAAAATATATATATATATGTACGTCAATATTTATTAACCATTAGAATACACAAAATATCAAACTGACACTTTTCATGCGAGAAATATACAAATATGTATTTATCAGACATCAAAATTTCATGGCAGTCATATATTGAACATTATCTAGTTGGTCATCTAGATCTAACTTCAACATCACCAACTGAGGATCTACAACTTCCTGAAACAATTACATACATACGTTATTATGATATAATTGTATTGTATATATTTTTTTAATTCTATTAAATAATTAAAAATGAATCAAATGATTAAAAATTATTGCACAATCGCCCTCTTACTGTAAAATGAGTGGTAAGTTGAAGAGCGTTTTGCTGACTAGACAATGCTCGCTTATCTGCATTTGCATGTCCGTAACTATACGGGATATTCGAACTTCTCTCCAATTTTTCCACTTGTGCAGTTTTCAAGGCTAACCTCTCACTAAAAAATAGTCAAAGATATCTATAAAAATATATTATTTATAAATATTTTAATTTAATGTATTATGCACTCTTACCTCGCCAAATTGAGCTTTTGTGCAGTTGTGTTTTGCCGATGCGCCAACACGCCAAAATGCGCGTCGAATTTGGCCTTATGTTCATTTTCAATGTGACGAACTTCTTTCAGCGCTTTCACAGCTTCTTCGTTTTTCGCGAAAGCTACCTGAATGACATTTTAATCGCGTTAATCTCCCTGAAATACCGTCTCACAATTTACACATTATTATCCAAATTCAGATCTCAGCGTCGCTTCCTGCTGGTCCATTGCAAGCGTCGCTGAGATCCAGACTCTGGTTGTTACCTGTGTAAAATTTTCGAGGTCTTGTGCGCGAGCTAAGAGGCGGTACTCCTTCTCTTGCAAGTTCTGTTGTTGTATCTCGAGATCTCTGATTTTTTCTTGCCATTTCAATCGTTCCTGATTCGCAAGTGCGGTAGCATCTTGAGCCGCTTTTATGGCAGCGGCTAACTGATACATAATTTATCTCGTATGGTTGCGCTATATACCTTGTGTATCGCAAATTTAATCTTTTGATTTACCTCTATCTTTGTAATACCGTCAGAATTAGCCTTGATTGTCCTGAGAATTTCGTATTGCTTCTTCTTAGCCGCAATCACCTCTTTCTCTTTGGTCAAAGCTCTCAGCTCCTTTTCTTGTTCGTTAAACCAAGATTCTTTTAAAGCCTGAAGATATTCATACGTGTATAATCTTACGGGATATAATTTTTAGTATATGTTAAAATTTTGAATTTTATATGTAACGAATAAGTCACCTGTAAATGATTACGTTCCCATTGTACTTTCTCCTCAAATACCTCTCTTTCATGCGACAGAAATTGCTCTCTTCTTTTTAACGTTTCCAGCGCTTCGTTGAGCATGGTGCTCTTCTTCTCTAATTCAAGCACTAACTGCGCAACGTGCGAGTCCAATCTGTCTGCTACTTTCATCATCCTATCGCGTTCCTGCTCCAGTAGCTCCTGTTGCTTCTTCGCTTCTGCATTCCGTACTACAGAAACACCACGCAAAGTGAGTCGAGTTTGCAGATCACTTCGAATTACCTGTCTAATAATTACACGTTAACGTACTCTGTACATCTTCCTCTTGGTTCTTCAAGTGGTGTTCCCTCAATTTTACACTTTGGTCGTCTCTTTGATCAGTCTTCTCTTGCACATTTCTTATATTCTCTACAATAAAATCAGCTTTCTGTAACAAATTCTGCAGATCAGTCTTGTGGGTGGCTATGGTCGTCATAGCTAAATTCTCGATTTCTCTCATTTTTAATATATTCTCTATCGTATCAAAATGCTCCTTCTGCAGCAGTCTTATGTTTTGCGAGTGTCGCTCGTAAATTTCTTCTATAAATTGCGCATGTTCCTTCTGAAACAAAATAAATAATTATAGTTCAAGCCGACGTTAACTATAGCTGGTTAGTAACAACAATCAACGTGTTAAAAGATTTCATTACCTTCAAATTTTGTATTTCTTCCTTATAGAACGCTTCAATTTGAATCCTCTCGTTTTTCAGTTTCTCGATCTTTGCTTCGTAGTCTGTCTCTAAATATTCAAGCTCCTGTTGCATTCTCTTTTCCAACGTATCTGTTCTCTCTTGGAGAAATCCTATTTGTCGCCTATGAAAAAACAATGTGAACAAATTTTGGAAAAATTTGTTCGTAATAATGCTCAGCGTAATGATTACTACTTACTTATACGACTCATCCAGAATCATTATTTCATTTTCGTATTTTTCATTTAAACTGTGTATCGTTACTGACAAGTGAGATTTCTCTAGTTCTAACTTCTGAATTACATTCTTGTAACCTGTTTCTTTGCGACTTAAATTGTCATCCATGGAATTTTTACTTACATTAGAAGTCGTTGAAACAATCGCTGTACTGGCCTGCATCATGAAATTAAATATAAACGTTCGACATCTTACGATAGAAATTAATTATACATAAGTCTCTCTCAACAAAAAGTGATCCACCTTGAGGCTTCCCTGATTTTCTTCAATTAAAACTTTCCGTTTCTCCTGTTCGTTGATTTCCTTTTGATTATCCGATGATTTTATCAATCGTTCTTTCTCCTGCGGCAATGATTCTGATAGTCTCGATTCCTCCTCTTGTTGCGCATTTGCCATCTGCATATAAAATTCTGAAGATTTCTGAATTTTACCAATCGCCATGTATACGATTATTTATGAAATGATTGATATATCATCAATTGAAAACATTTTACATTCACATGTAACTTAAAAGTTCCATAACATATATGTAAATTACTTATTTATTAAATATAATGAAAAACGAACCTATTTTTATATTACATAAATAATATCACTTACCGCTTGAGCGGTTTTATCAGAGCTAGATCTTCTATGTCTGCTGTATAATTCCTCAACAGGTGTTGCTCTATCTTGAGTATTATCTTCCGATGGTTTCTTAATCTCCAGCCACTCTGGCAAGTAATCTTTAGTCTCCGATTTTCGTCTAATTGAATCCGCGGATGCGGCATGCCTTTCAGTTGTCTTTAAAACCAGAAAAAGAATGGTTGAATGTGAATCACCAAAAAGTCAATATGGTCAATTCACAGTTCATACTAACAGATTGCTGAGTCTGACTGGATGCTGTGCTCAGAGACAGCAATCCTAGAGGATCATTAATTATTTCCGAGCTTCTCTTGCCTCTGCGAGGTTCTCTTGTTCCTAAAGCTGTTGGCGCATACGTTGAGAATTGTGACTGTGTCTTGGGTACTTCAACAACTGATGCTTCTTGTTCTGCCTGTATGGATCTTTTGCTAGCACTCGATTCCTTTGAAGGAGAAGTGTGCAGCGTATCCCCAAACAGATCTTGCATGAGTGATAACTTTTTAGACTTATCATCTGATGCTTTTGGTTTATCACTACCTGAAAAATCCTTAACAATTGGTTTTCTTCTCCTTGCGTGTTTCTTCCAGATTTTTTTTCTTAAAATTTGTAACTTCTTTGTAAAATATTAGCTGATACACTTATTGTAAAATTGCCCAAATAATCTTTGCTTTATTTATTTCTGCTTAAATCTTTTGTGCATAATATGGACATTAAACCTTTTTCCTTCTCACCTGGCTTCAAATTCGATAATGATTCATTAGAAACTTTTACATCGAACAAATTATCCATAATATTTCGCTTGTCTCTTACTGCTACTGGATTTCTTTGGCCTGGTGGAAAATCATCTTTATCTGCTAATAAATCAGCTAACGGATCATCCTCATCTGTGTAAATAAAAAAGAAATATTTTTATTAGATACATTCATACATTCTCATGTAATATATTCGGAATAACATGTTAAGCAATGCTTTAAATTAAACCTGCAAAGGTAATTCTTCTTCTGCTATCTTCTGAGGACGGATTTCTCTTGAATGCATTGTTAAACAGCTTGTCGTCCAAACTGTCCATATCCTCCACCATCTTTACTGTTTTCGTCGCATTCACGCGACTGTCAGTGAATCGCAAGATATTACAATTCTCATTTTGTATAATCTTTAAGCCATGCTCAATATTATTTCAGCCCCTCATTGACAGCAAGTGTTTCCGTTAATAAAATGCATCTTTTTCTTTCGTTCGCTGCACTCACTGTAAACATACATTTAGAAATGCATCATGTGAAAATATTATTTTTATGTGTATACAACGTTAATTAATATTAACAACAATAACTTCGCGCGACTGACAGTTGATGATTGATTGAAAACATATCTCCTCTCTCTCTCTCTCTCTCAATTTTGTGGTCTGTTCTTTATAGCTGCACTAGTTCGCAGTGCAGCTAAAAAGAACAGGCTAAATCTTTCTGTCGTGACTGTACAAGCGCAGGTGTGGCGCTAAAAATCGTGTTCCTTATCTTCCAAGGGAGGCACCAATAATGGGAAATCGTGCGATAAATTTACGCCCTCGAGATAAACTCGCTCTTGTAAAAATTGGACGTAGTTTTCAGCACGAGTTGCACTGAATTCCAGGTATGGCCGAACTAAACGAATAATGTCATGCGGAATGAGGATACAACTGAAACATAAATTAGTATAACACAAGCAGACATTACAGCAGCCAATAGAGAGCAAAAATGAACAAAGTGAACAAAAACAAGCGACTTACGAAGCAATAAATATATAGTAATATATTATTATTACAAGATATTACACGTCACCCGTTTAGTTCGGTAACAGTCGGGGCCAATCGCAGATGATGTAGGTGATGCCACTTAAAAGGTGTGAATGTGAATCCCCCTCTTCACGCATGCGCAGTAAAGCAATTGTGAGTAGACGTCAGTAGCGTATTTATATTCCTATAATATTAATAGGTCTCTTTGTTTTCGCTGCACCGCTGAACTAGTGCAATAAGTTGAAGCGAGACAGGTATATGTTTTCTCACTTCAACTTATTGCACTAGTTCAGTGGTGCAGCGAAAACGAACAGACCTATTGTTATTTCCTTGATAATAAAAATGAAGAGGATATATTTAAAAACTGCTACAGCAATTTGTAAATAAAAAAAATTTTTGTGTCTACAGTCGACTTATTATGTGAATACCAACCTGAGTAGTAAAATAATATTAAAAATTATGTGGATCCCAAAAAACGTTTGCTACTGTATCTAAGCACGAGTTTGTGGTTGTCAATCATATGACCTGAAATGTTATTTGCTCATGCGCATAAAATATCATTCGCACGATTTCTTATCACTGGTTTATAAGCCCTGCGTTGCCTTTGCTTGTGTCCTATCTTGCTTCAACAGGTATCAGCAATAGTAACTATTGAAACGTGTAAAGGAATTATTAAGATAAATTAGTCGAGGATACCTTCCTTCTTTAATATTCTTTAATTTGTGTATCACAATTTAGTATCAAATTACATTTCCAATTCTCCGAAAGGAACTTCCAGTGCATTTTATATTTTTCACCGGAAGGAAATCTGTGGCAGGTCAGTATAAAATCTAGCGATGTTTTTTTTAAAAAAATTAGTGCAGATAATAATGTTAATGACAATAATTATATAATTTTTCTCATAGTTATGTAAGAAAAAAAAATGAACAAGAATTTGTAGCCTAAAAAAGATTTTTTCTTGCTCACACATGCATATGTGGTACATTTGTGGTACATTTTTGTTATTTCCCCCGCTTTCAGAAATAATTTTCCAGCTTAGGAATAAAATGTCAATGATTTTTTTTTTATAAAACGCACGAGTGTAGAAGTAGTAGACTTCACATATATGAATGTATGCAACTAAATTTGTATTGAGTGCTGCTGAGAGCATGACTCATGTCTTCTTTTAGGAAATTGATTACGTAACTTTTCCTCTAGGGTGAAAATGTGAAAAGTGAAATGTTTTTTAAATAAAAAATTTACCCTGTTCACAATATAGGAGAAGATTCATGACCCTGTTGAGATTGATCATAGATTTTCTTTAGCATGAATTTATAAAAAAGTATGGGTTTTCTAATTTAAAAACATTAAAAATTTTCACTTTTCAAGTTTTCACTCTAAGAATAAATTATATAATCGATATTCAGCATGTAATGAGTAACAAAGATAGAATGACACTTTCCTGCTGAAAGTATCCAAAACAAAATTAGCCATAAACTGAAATATTTTTTTAGGCAAATAATCCCAGGCGGAATATTATTGCAAAAATAGTCAATGTATAAATATGGCTTATTACGGCGCTCAGTAAGATTTTTAAATGTCTTATAATATATTTATTATATATTGTCATAGTACACAATTAAAATGTTTCAGGTATCCAGTTATTGAGAAGTGTGTTAATTTTGAAAACTGTTGCTGCGATGACCTGGATTGTGGTTTTCTCCACAACTATAAATATTGCTTTCAATATCAAAACACAACCTGTGACAATATGATGAATTGCCCATACTTGCACTGCACTAGTGTAGAGCAACTTCATTATGAAACTACTGGAAAAGCAACTGAGTATCTTAAAAGAGAAGTTGGCCGAACTCTGCAAAATTCTAACATATGTAATGATTTTAAAAATGGGCTTTGCACGCAAACAGTATGTAATTTACGACACATAAAATTTGATAACGTGAAGCCTTTGAAATGTCACAAATGTAATGTACAAATAACTGTGAAAAATTTTGGAATGGCTAATTGCGGACATATAATTTGTTCTAAATGTTTTTTTATAACAAGCATCAATTCAGACAAAATTAATATAAACTCATTAATTAATGACTCAACAAAATGTAAAATTTGTGGAAAAGATACTTGTTACTTGGCATTTAGAAATTATTAATTATTAAAATATAATTATTCTTTTTTAATTCTATTACTCATGATATCATTTATATAAAATAATTATGTCGTTTATTTTATTGTACGACAGTACTTTTTTATTAGATGTACACTCGGTCATAGAACGATTGCAATAGTTTTTGTTTCTCATATTTCGAAACACAAAAATAATGTTACCACTATTCACAACAGCTATATAATATTGTAATATTTTGCTATCTTATTATAACTTTATATTTGAAGAATAAAACGCACATCGGAAATATTAGAAAATAAATATTGGTTCTTCTACTATTAATAAAAAATGCAAAGCACAATATTATTAATAACCAATTGTTCTGTCGATTACTGTACAAATACAAATTATCTTGAGTTTAAAATTTAAGGTTCGGAAATTAAGGGTATGTATAAGGATTAATTCGAGTATATACAAGGATTAATAATAATATGCAAAGTAAATTGTAATAGACTGCGATATATTAACTCTAATAAAATATATTTATACAGAATATATTAAAAAAAAAATTATGTCTACAACTCTCTTTAATCTATTCTTCTTTACGTTTGTAGCAATATAATTTTCTGTTAAAGTTCCTGGATAGTCGCTGCAACTGTCCTTGTTTAATGACGTCAGAAGCGAGGAAATGCATGTTAAGAATTCTTGCGTTTTACGTTCAAATAAAAAGATATACTCACAAAATGATATTTGTGATTGATTTAGTACACTTATAAAATTGTCCGTGCATTTTTTTTACTCAAGCAATCAATAAATAGCCGCCAAATGAATTTGACACGGAACCGTTTATTTTAACCTCTTTTCTCGCGATTTTGTCAATGTTAATTTAATGACTATTTATTGTATGTTCGAATAGAATAGAAGAATACAATTAGTGAGTATTAAATCATGATAATTATCATGATTTGATAATAATCAATATTGATTATAATCAATAAGAATAAAATTTACATAATTAATATGATTATTTTCGAAATATGAATATATATATTTATAAAATTATCCGTGCGAATAGAAGAAAAGTGCACGGATAATTTTATAAATATATATATTCATATTACGAAAATAACCATATTAATTATATAAATTTTATTCTTATTGATTATCATGATTTGATACTCACTAATTGTATTCTTCGAAATACAACAGTAACCCAAAACATAAATATATCTATTAAAAAATATTAAATTTATATGTACGACAAAGTTTAATGTCAAGCTTGTCCTTGGATTGGGTAAATAATACATATATTTTACTTAAAAATATTAATATATTTATTCATGTATATGTATGATTAGAACATTTAATTATAAGAACATCATATCATATTAAAACAATTAGTTATAAAGGATAGAAACTTTTTTGGCATCTGTTCCCTATTTGTTTTTATATTTGTTCTATCTGTTCAATCTGTAAAAAAAATATATATTTTATCTTCATTAAAAATATATATTTTTATTATTCAACATTATTTATTATTTATTATTCAACATATATTCATTATGCAGTATAATAATACTTTAAGATATACATTTATATTTCATGTTATAAATATTTTTAAGTTAAAGAAATATATATAATTTAGGAAAATTGAAATAAACTTTGCCAATGCAGAACATAAATATCTATACAGTTACAAAATTATATTTACACATTCTATTTACGTGTTGCAATATTCTACAATAAGTATTGACGAATTCTATTTTAATTTTTAAATAAATTGCTAAAACAGAAAAAAAATATATTTTTAAAACATACCGGATACAGCAACACTTTTCCATTGATTACATTGTTCACAAAGGTAAACAGGGATTGAATTCTTTATTTGCATTGAAATGGTGTCTAAGCAATATTTGCAATATGCGTGACCACATCTCAGCACCACAATGTTTCCTTGCATTAGCATGACATAGCATTTCTTGCATACTGGTGTGCTCACTGAAATTAGAAAATACTTTCAGTTAATTTATCTTATAACACAACTTGTCTGAACAATTTATATATTTGAATAATTAAAAACTTACTATCTCTGGGAGCTGTTCCGCAAGTCAAACAATTCCACATACATTTGCCCAACATATTCAAGGTGCAGGTGTGTGCCTTTAATTTCGTTGGGAAAGTTTCTCTTAAAAGCCATGCCAATCGTGTCATTTCTTGATCAATGGATTCTCGAAAGGGTCGTATATTTTCAAAAATTTCAAGGATTTCATGATGACGTTGATTTTCATCAGTCCATTTGAGATGCACTTTTTTGCAAAGTTTATTTCCGTTACAAGATGAGTTTTGGCAAATTTGAACCACATGATGCTTTTCACACGGATTATTGAAGCATATACGTAGCATGAAATCACTGCACATCATATTTGCAATATAATGAGGAATACTTTCTATCAAAAAACACAGGCAATACAACGTGATACGATGCCGATACAAGCAATAATGGGAAATTGTGCGATAATTCACGCCCTGGATGTGCGATAAATTCTCGGGTGTGGTCGAATTAAATAAATGATGTCATGCGGAGTGGAGATGCGCACTGAAATATAAAAGTACATTTCACTTAACGCTCGTGACGATCACGAACATTATTCTATCCTTGTTTCTTTTGGATATTAAGCAAAGACAGAACAATGCTGGTAATCGTTGCGAGCGTTAAATGGAACGTACCTTAAATTATCGAATCACAAGCAGACGTTACAGTGAACAATAGCGGGCAATAGAAAACAAAAGTGAATAACAGCAAGCAAAAACGAGCAACATACAAAGCGATAAATATATATTAATATCTTATTATTAAAAAACACGTTACCAATTTAATTCGGTTACAGCCAGAGTCAATTGCAGATGGCGTAAGTGATGCCACTTAAAAGGTGGAAATCCCCTGTTACACATGCGCAGTAAACCTCGTATCAGACTACGGATTAGAATTGAGATTGACTAAAAATTTGGCCAATCAGAGCAAAATTTACTAAATTTGAATTTACTTTGCTTTGATTGGTTAAATTTCAATCCAATCTCAATCTTAATCCGTAGTCTGATATTTGGCATAAAGCCCGTATAGAAAGTGCTGGAAGAGCAATTGTACACATCTCACCTTTCTCTTTAAGTTGTAAATATATTCACACTTTTTCCATTATAGATAAATAACATATAAATAAGTAAACATAACCATCTATTCTTTTTATTTCATTTTTATTACACTTCCCGCAGCCTTCTTCTACAATTTCCTTTTTTTCTCCAAATATCAGTACATCAATTTTACTCCGAGTGCAGAAAATGTAGTCGAGTATAGAGAGGGAAACAGCAGATTCTACTACAGTCACTGGACGGCATTCGGATTCGCCGTTTGACGGCCCAGTGCAAGAATTTCCGTTATCCCTGAAAGAGCTGTGCGTCCGCCAGTGTCGCGGATTCAGGTGTGGATCGGGTGTATCGTTGTTGCAGCTGTAGTCCTGCGCATTCAGGACGAGCGGAGAATGTAGCGACGCTGCAGTGGGCGCTGTCTCGTCGTCGAGTAGTTTGCCTGTTCACGTTGTGATTGTTGAGTCGGTGATCGGTTTGTCGTCGACTCGCCTTGTTGCGAAGGTGAGTGGGCGGATCGCGGTGGAGAACGCGATCGACAGGTAGCAACGACGTGTATCGATGATTCGCGGTGGTCCTTCGAGGTATCCGTGAGGAGGCTGGAACGGTGAGAAGCACCGGAATATCATATTGACAGTGAAACGTTTAAATATTAGTGAGTGAAAGAGAGGAGTGAGGAAAGGAATAGAAAAAGTAGCCCTCACCTGAGAGACAGAAGACAGGTCGATGATCGGCGATCGCGCCTTCCACCGAGCACGGAGGGCGAAAGGACATCATGCTGAGATTTTTGTCGCGGCGAAGGGCGCGCGGCGTCAGCGGCCAGACCTCGTCGCAGATAAAAAATCAGAGGTTACCCAGTAACAAAAACGTCGTGCAATGTAGGGTAGTACTGTTGGATGGCACAGATCTGCCCATAGAGCTATCAGTGAGTTGACTAAAATTTCTGAAAACTTAACAACAGAATTAACAATTGTCCTCTGATAACAGTAAAATAATCATTTTGTTTTACAAAGTTAAGTAATTTTCACTGTGGTTGTAACTTCTCTTAGAATTTTTAATTTGAAACAGGAGTCTTGATACAGAGCAGGATAATTATTTAGACTCATGTAATTTTTCTGCGTACATGATGTGTACCCCATAATCTTTGGTCTCTTTTGCAGAAAAAAGCACTGGCCAGTGACTTATATGAGCAAGTATTTTATAGCTTAGATCTAATAGAGAAGGATTACTTTGGACTGCAGTATACGGACAGTAATAATGTCCAACACTGGCTAGATCCAACGAAACCCATCAAGAAGCAAGTAAAAAGTATGCATTGTCTGTAGACATTTAATTTTTTATAAGAGTGAGTGCATATACAAGTACGTCAGATTAATAGATCTGTTTGCTGTTCAGTTGGCCCACCATATACACTCAGACTCAAAGTGAAGTTCTATTCTTCGGAGCCGAACACATTGCGCGAAGAATTGACGCGATATCAATTCTTCCTGCAGTTGAAGCAAGATGTTCTGGAGGGTAGACTCCACTGTCCACATCAGGTTGCAGTCCAATTAGCTGCTCTGGCGCTGCAGTGTGAGTAACTTTCTGCTAAAAAAATCAACAGATACATTGTTGTTTAAGAAAATTAGTACTAGAACTTTGGCTGGATCACTTTTGACCCACTTGTAGATTTTTCCCCATTTATTTGGATTTTTGTCACTGAGAAGCCTTCTTTATCATAAAACAATTTAACAATATCAAAAAAGCCCACGAATAATTAAAAAAAAAAGAGGTGGGTCAAAAGTGACCCATCCGTGGTTCTAAGAGGGAAAAATTATCACAGTCCAGTGTTAAGCTACAAATCTCACATAGAGATTATCGCTCGGTGGATAATTATTTTGCATGTTTGAAAGGCGTGTTCCCTTTCTCTTGTATTTAGCTGAATTGGGAGATTATGATGCTGCCGTGCATAGCGCCGCGACGGTCTCGGAGTTCCGCTTTGTGCCTGGACAGACGGAACAGATGGAGCTGGAGATACTGGAGGAGTACACCAAGTACTCGGGCCTCAGTCCGGCGCAGGCGGAATCTACGTATCTCAGCAAGGCCAAGTGGCTGGATATGTACGGGGTAGATATGCACACGGTGCTCGGCAAGGACGCCTGCGAGTACTCGCTGGGTCTGACTCCGACTGGAATCTTGGTCTTCGAAGGCACACAGAAGATCGGTCTATTTTTCTGGCCCAAGATCGGCCGTTTGGACTTCAAGAAGAAGAAATTGACGCTGGTGGTGGTCGAAGAGGACGACGAGGGCAGAGGCGAGCAGGAGCACACCTTCGTGTTCAGGCTGGTGAATGAGAAGGCGTGCAAGCACCTGTGGAAGTGCGCGGTCGAGCATCACGCCTTCTTCCGTCTGCGTGCGCCGGTCAAGGGTGCCAGTGGCCGTCAGAATTTCTTCCGCATGGGTTCGCGGTTCCGCTACAGCGGCAAGACCGAGTTCCAGACGACGCAGCTGAATCGGGCGCGCCGCACAGTACAGTTCGAGCGACGTCCGAGTCAGAGGTATGCGCGGCGGCAGAGTCATGTTCTCCGTGAGCGGCAGCGTCAGCAAGTCGAGCAGACGCAACCTACCCCGCCTCCAGGTGAGTTCACGCTTGCGCCTTGTTCTCATAATATTCAATCACAAATTTAAATGAGAAGGAAAATTTATCATTTAAACGAAATAATATAATCTTGTGACTGTTTTTACTTTGCCAGAATTTATACATTTTTATGTATTTAAATTTTAAATTGTTGCTGGAACTCATCAGGTCTGTTCCTTTTAAGTGGATTAGGTTGCGCTTTTTGCCTTTAGAATGAAACAAGTATGTAAGAGAAAGTTGAAGGGAAAAGGAACGAAGTTCCAGTGCAGCACTTGTTGATCTAAAAAAAAAAAAAAAGGAAAAACAGGTCTTTCGACGCTGGATAAAGAATGCAGATAATTATTTGTTCAGCCGAAGAAGAGCCTCTGCAGCGACAGCCGAGTCGATGCAGCACAAAGTCCTCGGACTCGAGTATTCAAGGCACCTCTTCGCCTTTGGTGGACTCGTTACTGAAGTCTCTCGCTAAAGACCAGCAACCCCTGGAGGCGAGGAATCAGACTACGGTCGCCAGCAGCGAGAAAGAATCGGAACCTACGAAGACCAGCTTGACTGTCGAGACTATCGCCAATCAAGTGCAGCTAGTGCCGAACAATCAAGTGGGCGGAACGTCGTCGTTGCCGCCGCGAACGCCGATCCCGCCGGAATCGCTCAAGTGCAATATACTGAAGGCGACTCTCGAGCAGGGGAAAAACTCAAACCTGATCTCTATTACGTCGACGGACGCGCCCGGGGTCATCGCGAAGAAAAATCAGCACTCCGACGCGGCGACTATCGTTTCCGTGGTAAGCCGTCGACAAAGGCTCTCCTATTGTCTCATAGTTTCCCGTCCCGCTTCGATTCTTTCGTTGTTATATTGCGTGCTTCTCGTTCACACGTATGCGTGTCTCGTCTCGTCCTTTCTTTTGAATTTAAAATTATACAAGGCAAGATGTTACGTAACTATTACTATCTTGAGTATCTTTGGAAAATAAAAATATTCTTCACTTTTATTTTCTTATCACTTTTGAGAGCCTTGTTCATTTCTATTTAATAGATAACTGTTGTTTCTATCCCGTATTTCGAAGATAATCAGGGTGGTAATAATTATTGCCTCACCCTGTATTTGTTCAGCCAGTTTAAATACATTTTCTACACCCGTATTATTGCGCGTTACTCACACGGTATTTGAAGCTAGACATTCTCATTAGTTATATACGGCGGCTTATTAAGTAATCTTATCGTTTGATTGCCTCTACGTTACTGTTTGTGTCCGCACACACACACATACACACACACATTTTGTTTACCGTGTCCGCGCTTGTCGTACCGCTAGCTGCCTAGCTACCATAACGTGTTTGCTTTCTCGCTTTCCTCGTCGGACAGGGCGGAGACAAGCTCACCCTCTCCGTGAGCGGAGCGACGACCGCGGTGAGCCCCGCCACGGACGACACCGTCACCGTCACGCATTTCTCGCTGGACAGCTGGGGTCAGATCGAGCAGAAGACCACGCCGTTGAGCCCGAAGGTGTCGAATCAGTCGCAGAACCCCTTCAACCCGTTCACCAACGACACCGGCAACGACTCGGCCGTCAACAACGCGACCACCGAGGTAACCGAGGAGGAGGCTAAGCCGGAGGACGACAAGCAGAAGAACACGAATCCGTTCATCGACTCGAACCCCTTCTTGGGCATACTCAATCCGTTCAAGGAGCCGCAGCAACCGGCCGCGACGGCCGAGAGAAAGATCGAGGCGGAGCCGGAAAAGGCCGGGGCGCGAGTCGTCAAGACGGAGGAGATACAAACAACCACTACGACGCTCACGCATAAGGTCAGTCAGTCGCGTTCCCTAAGCTTGTGAGCCAGCTTGTGAGCTGCACAGCGTCCCGCTTGGTTACGCAACCGACGTTCGGTTTCACCGATGAGCGAGAAAATCGCCTGCCGGAGGTGCCACGGTGTCTCTCGGCGCTCGAAGCGAATTAATCAAGCCGGAAAAAAGCCGGACGAGAGCCTACTCCAGAGGAGCGAGTTACTCGTTACCGGTGAAAGCTTCGTGAAATTCCGCTTCGCGCCCCCATGTGAAAGTCGTCCGCGCGCTTGTGGATGGTCCCCGGTGCTTGAGCTTGCTTCAACTTGCATATCGCTTGAGCTATTATTAGCCAACCTGTGTGACCAATTAGTCACTCCGACTGCGATCAGGGCTAGCGTCTGGACGCATAGCGAACGCCAAGTATGCCTTTCTTTGGATTATCCAGCTGAAACGGCGACTACGTTTACACGGCAAATTGAAATTCGTTTAACGACACCACAGTCTGCGTGAACAGCATTAAGACCGATTTAATAATCCCCGATGTTGTAATAATTGTCGACGTTATACATATCGTATAAACAATTATATTGTAAGCGTGTTACATGACACGTGTATGTGACACTGATAGTTACAACGTCGGGAATGGCGAAAAATCGATTTTACGCCGGCATGTAAACGCAGATTCTGACTACACGTTTACACAGCAGCCTAAAATCCGATTGGTAACATCGGTAATTTACGTTTGCATGACCACTACGTAAACACCGATGTGATAAGTCTCGATGCTGCAACCACTAGCGTTACGTGTCATACGGTATAATTACAACATGATTATTTATACGATACGTGACGTCGGTGGTCACATCAGCGGAAACCATTAAACCGGTTCTATGCGGTCCACGTAAACATGGATTACGGAAGCTACTAAATTAGTTCTTGATTGTCGTGTAAATTTAATCTGTAGTATCCGTACAAACTAAATAGGTCTCAGGCTACCGTGTAACACATATTTAAGGTGACTTTCACCAAACTCATCAAATATTAACCGACTATTCATCGATTACTCACCGGTTAAACTAATCGGTGAACAATAATAAGAATCATCGGCAACAACGGCCGGTTCTTTAATTCGTCGCTCAACAAAAATCGAAAACTTAGGCATTTCTATCTACGCTAGCAAGATAGAGCAGGTGACAACAGGATTGATTGGCATTAATTTTAAATTGTCGGCTGAATTAATCAGAGTTTGATGTTTCGGAAAGTCATCTTCAATGTTGCGCGCGACGTTGAGCCATAAGAACGGCACTCGGAAACCAAATGAGCAGGTTTAACGGCAGATGTGCGTCCAGAATAGAGTCCCAGAGTTACAATGTGTCGAGATTACTCCCGGTGTACTGTACTGAGAAAGCCTCTTTCTCGCAGGACGAGAGCCCGGCTGCGTCGGACATCAGTCCCTGGCTGGTGGAGGACCTGTTGCAGAGTCCAGCAACTGATCAAACGCCCACCAAGCATACGGTCGTCACGAGAAAGACGGTGATTACCACACAGTTATAAAATATTTATTGAATACAAAGGATGCGTAATACGTCGAACACACACGTGCACAGATACATCATACACACATACACTCACGTGTCACGCGAACCCGTTACAAAGTAGCACCGATGTGTTACATGGCTACTACCGGTCTTCCTCAGAGACTGCCCGTGACGCTTTTCTACTTTCGATGCGTTTATCCGGTCGGTACATGACAGCTTAAATACGCGTACACCAGCACTCGTCAGGAAAAATATCTTTCTACGAAAGGCTCCCGAATCGTACTCAAGTGTAAAAGCGGGGGTGAAGCATCGCGCTCGGCCGACACATACCTTCTCATTGTTGTCAATTCTCGCGCGTCAGCTCAGTAACACGATCTTTCTTTCTTTCATTTTACTTCTTACGCCGACTAAGGACCTTCGTACGAAGACCTCCGTAACGCGTTACGTTACGTCACGTCAGTGCTGACTGTCAACCTCAGCCGATACGTAATAGTAAATTTAGGTCAACGCACATAGATAAGCATGCATGATTATGCGCAGTCAGGCGTCACTCATAATGTAACGTAACTATATCAGATAGATTTTATAATAAGAAAAGATTCTAGTAGAAATATTTGATAAGATAAATTAACATTCTTATCAAAATTTTTCCTACTTTTCTTCTCCCTCTCTCTCTCTCTCTGGTCTCTCTATATCGTTTTTCACTTAGTTATTGCAGTAATTAAATGAAGAATTGACGTGATATAGAAAAGATGATAAAAATTTTAATGAGAAATAATTAACTTGTCAAATCAAATATTTCTGCTAATCCTCCGTTATAAAATCCCAAACAACACATATGTCTAAAAGATATCTCAAAGACGTCTGTTGGATGTCTTAGGTTTTGTCTACAATCTTGCTTTAGGACGTAAGCCGTAAGCAAATTGACCAATCACAGTCGTTTGTTAAAAGAATAATTGGCCGTGCTTGATCAGTTTGCTTACGTTTTGTAGACAAAGACTTATTATCTAAAAGACGTCTTTACGACGTCTTAACGTTATCTAGGATATTCGAAATACTTACCTCACAGATGACGATGCGCTTAATCACACGCAGTCCCGCTCCTGTTGCTTTACGATTTTCTTTGCGCGTTGACCCAAAGTTTACTGTTACGCACCGACTAAGTTCACGGTCAGCGCTCGACGTGACGTAACGCATTGCGGAAGTTCTTGCGCGGGGGCCCTAAAGGACTCGCAGCACGCGGTCCAGATTACAAATAGTTTTAGTCTATTTGTAGCGCTGCATTCTCCTTCATTGTTTGACGATGCATTCATCTCAAGCGCTTACGTGTCGATAGAAACAAGTGTCCTTACTACCTGCCAATACGTATTATAAGTACGCACGCCGAGGTCCGGTCGTTTTAGCCGGCTCCTCCGCGCTTCCCCGCTATTCGCGTTATCTTCTCTCTTTCCGGAAGAGATACACCTGCGCTTTCGATTCATTTCTCAAACAATAAGAAAAAAAAAAAGAAGAGAAAAACGGCAAGCGCGTGCGACGAAGGCGAGCTAAGACGAGCGGGCCTACGTGTTAACCACGAGGCAATCTCATGTCTCAACAATGAACAAGAATAACGAGTCTATGCATTTACACATCGGCTCTCGTGAGCTAGCACTTTTGTGCTACTCAGCCATCGTGCCTTGAGATTTGACAAAACATGCGCGTTTATACGCGACTGTATCAAAGAGAAAGAAAGAAAGAAAAAGAGACAGAGAGAAAGAGAGGGGGGGG